CAAAAGGTGAAAGGAATGGCAGTGGGGAAGGGGATCAGGTCCACCAGATATTGCTGGTTCTTCTCACCCTCCAAGGCCAGGGTGGTAGCAGTTAAGAGGAAGGGACGCCTTCATCTGGTTTCATATATATATATGTGTGTGTGTGTGTGTGTGTGTGTGTGTGTGTGTGTGTGTGTGTGTATACTAAACATTATATATAATATATATAGCTGTCTACATCCATGGATTTTTTGTCCATGAATTCAAGCATCCACAGCTTGAAAATATAAACCCAAAATCTAAATTATACAAAACAAACCTTGATCTTCCTATTTTATATAATGGACACCATTTTACTATCCATTGTATTTAATGGAACTTGAACATCCACAGATTTTGGTATCAATGGGGGGGGGTGTTAGAACCAAACCCCAAAGATGCCAAGAGCCCTGTGTGTGTGTGTGCGTGTAAGCGTGTGCACGCGCACATTGAAAATATATAACATACATAAGCAAATTATGTCACACATGACCTGTGAAGCATACTTCAATTTGTTTGTGTTCAAATCAGAGTTTCATCATGTTCACTGATGTTGTGGTGGGCATCACAGTTGGGGGGGGGAGGGCTGGTAACTCTCTTATTAGCAGAGCAGCAAGCATAGAGTTGGCAGATGATGGAGTAGAACAGAGTGCAGCGGTGTTTACATACATTCAGTATGTACTTGCTTCATAAAGGGAGACGGTAGAACACACAATATTCTTGAGGATTCAAATTGTATACTGTTCTTTTTGACACCTGAAAGCTTACATCTGTGTTTTTTTTTAAAAAAAAATAACCTTTTACCCTGCACTTTCCTAGACAAACTGGTTTATTATATGTATGCCCTGTGGTCTGAGTGGGCTTCATTGTGGAGCCGGGGAAGGAGGTTTTGAGCTTGTTGGGAGGTTACCTGGGACAGCTGGTCACTTCATCACTCCCACCAGGAAAGGCATTTTGCAGTGTACATGCAGAATTATTTTTTGAATTAGTACTGGCACATCTCCACATATCGGCATTTAAACTTAATGTGTTGTTTCCCTAAATCTCACTGTATTGGATAATTATCAGCCAATGGCCAATATTCTATATTTGTGCTTTTGGGCTTTCCCCAGAGTTCTGCTTACAATTCATATTTTTGCATTGCTATATGAACATTTAAACAATTAAATTTGTCTAGTGCAAAATCGAATAGCATAAAATATTTTGTTCTTAACTGTCCTCAAGTCGATCTTGACTCATTGCGAACCTACGGATGAAACGGATGATTCCTAGTGCCTCCTCCTTTCTTTAACCCTGCTTAACTTTAAGATTTTAACCTTAATATATTAGTGCACATTAAATGTGGGAAAAACAACAATAACATACTTATCCTTTGATTAGAAAAGGAGATAATCCTTACACGTTTAACGTGTAAAGAACTAGCTAATCTGGCATTCAACAAATCAAGGAAAAAAATCTAATGGACTGTTTGTGAGGTTGGGCACAGGTCAATCACAGTATTCCTGAACTCTGGCCAGTTCATGTTGGCTCACAATGTTATGCCCATGCAAACATTTTCTAAATGTCTTGATTCCTCCCTCGTGTGAACACACATTTTACATAAATGCCAACCAATATTTTTAGTTCCTATAATCCTCAAGGTAATCAACTCTGTTTTTTCACAGACACATATTGTTACATCCAAAAAAGATTCAGATGAAGTTAATGTTGGAAGTAAAGGGGCATCAGTGCTTGTTTCTTTATTAATTTTGGGTAGAGAGGGAACTTTGATGTGCATGTCTTGTTTTCTCCCTATGTTTCCTGGTCGATGCAATTCAAGCAATTTCTGAATCCTGCCAACAGAGGATACTTCTTCCCTCCCTCCCTTTTCTCTATATTAATGAGCTGTATTATCACCTCTCCCTCCCTCTTTAAACCTAATAACTATGACCATATCATTCCTATATGTGTTTGTGTGTTTGTCTGTACTGTCTTCAGTACCATACCTTCCAATGGAAGGTATAACTAAAATTAATACTTCAATATTAATATTTCTGAGTGTGGCATAATGGTTTGAGTGTTGGACTATGACTCTGAAGGCCAGGGTTTGATTTCCCACTCAGCCATGAAAATCACTGGGTGATCTTAGACAAGTCACATGCTCTCAGCATTCCTGTTCTTGCTGTTACTTTATTTGATTTACCATTTTATTTTCTTATATCCTGTCTTTCTTCCAATGCAGGGACTCAAGGCAGTGAACAACACGTATAAAACAATACAATTTTTAAAAAGTACAATATTAAAATATATAAATATCAAATATAATAAGAATTGAACAATTCTAAGAGTTAAAATAGTTATAAATAGTTGTTATGGTGTGCCTTCAAGTCATTTCAGACTTATGGCAAGCTTAAA